CTGGACCGGTCCAGGTCTTCACCCGACGGAGGCCACGCGAACAGGGAGGGGGCGGAACACTGCGGAACACCCAGGGAGGCCACGTGGAGTCTTTTGGGAGGGAAAATTTGAATTAGAAGGGGGTAATTAGGTCTTTTGTAATCGTCCTTTCATGTTTAATTAGGGAGATGAGGGGGAAATTAGGGTTATGTTGATTTTGAATGTGATTTGTGAGATCTAAGTTTTTCTTTTGGGCTCTAGGCAACGGCTAGAGATTTGGAGAGTTATTCCTTCCTCTCGAATTGAAGGAAACTTGTATCTTTCTTGTCTTTTGCATCGACTAGTGAAATTCAATCGTTTGCTATTGTTTTTCCTATTTTTTCTACGTTTTCTCTCAGATTTCTCTACTGTTTTTGTGTTTGGTGGCTGTTTTCTCATAGAAAACAGCGGATTAGTTGCGATTTGGCTTAGATCCGATAGGAATCACTTGAAATACTCAAGTGGTACCTATCAATATCTTAATTATAATAACTTTAATTTTTGTTTTAATTTATTCTTAATTAAATAATTAAAATAAGTTATTAAACTACTAATCAATTAAATATTGATTTAATAACTTATTTTAATTAATAATTAATTGAATGGCTTATTTATTAATTTTATTATTTATTGCTTTTTATTAGATTTTATTATTGCTACTATGATTTAAATATAATATAGATCAGATTATATCGTTTTTTGTAATGCAGCAAAGCGGAAGACTCCTTCAAAATTTTTCAACAGGTTCAAGGTTCGAACCATGGAAGCGACGCGTGGGGGCAGTCTGGCGGGGCCCGTTCGGGCTGGCCTGGTGGGCCGGGCGGCCTGGGTGCGTGGAGAGTTGCGGGCACGGGCTGTGCTCGCGGGACAAGGCGGCTGGGCAAGCGTGGGGAACGGGCTGGGGGTAGTAAATATTTTTTTTAATTGATTTTAAGTTATTCTAGCGGAGTTTTTCCGCCGGACCGTCGCCCGAAAAAATTCCGCCGGAAAAATTTTCCGGCGGATTTTTTTACGACGGAAAAGTTTTCCAACGCTCAAATTACCATCGCAACTTTTTTTGCCGGAAATTTTTGAAATCCGCCTGAACATTCAGTTTTTTTCCGCCGAAAAGACGCGATTTTCCTGTAGTGTGCACCCAAACCTTAGAACTTCAACATCTCTTGTAAAATGCATCATGCATCACTGAGTGCACTCAAAGATATCAAATTCTTTCTCACATCCAATACATGCCAAAACATCATCCAATATCTTAATCACATCATCATCCACCCCCAAGTTCACAATTTCATAATTAACTATCTTGCACACCAAGTTGTTTCTCATTTGCATATAGCCAACCAAACACAGCTTATGAGTGGAAAATAACTCCTTATTAAAGAACATATGCTATGAGCAAGCTGAATCTAAAATCCACCAATTAGTGCTATGAACTCTATTAATCCTAAAAAAAAAGTATAACTTATAATTGAATTAGACCAATCTATAACAACAAGCATCAAATGACTTGTCCTAATTATAGTTTTCATTCGAATGCTTACACCCTTTTAAAAACACGGGGATTTTCCCTTACCATCATTTCTTCTAATAATTGATGCAAGTAATTTCCTTGACCATACCATGAAAATTAATCTTATCATGATTAAAAATATATCCTTCTTAGAAGATCTCCCCCTAACCAACAATCCCTAAGGTAGCTTTTTATCTCCTAACACCTTAAGCTTAGCAACTACATCTTCAAAAAAAAGTTAATTCTTAACATCATGTAATCTGACTGTATATCTTCCATGCAACATTGTGTCATGAAAATACCTATTAGTGAAAGATAAAGACCATAATAATAGAAATTTTTTATTCTTATTACCAATCATCAATCACATCAATATTCCACAATCCAAAATAATTGAATTAAACTCATTATGGTTTAATTGGCATACCTTCCTGCATTTGTAGCAAGTATTTGTAATAAAATTTTTAGAGATGATTTTGATCATGTGCAACAACATTAATTTAATCCACAACACCTTCGTGGTTATTTCCTCAAAGACCCTATCAAGACCTTATTTGCAAAATTTATTGCTATAAAAGAAAGAACTTATAATCCACATCTATATTATATTATTCAACCATGATCTCAAGCATGTTTGCACGCTGTATAAGTGACATCACAAGTTCCTATTGGATTAGACTACCATAAATCTTGATTCTCCAAATTCTAAAAAATTTCAATCCTACAACGTTTAGATCTCAAACTTTATAGCCATTATATTACGCATCAAGCTCCAATATAAATTGTCAGTAAAACACTAACTTTTATGTGAAAGCCCAAAGTAGGAAAAAAAGCGATTATATATAAAGTGGAATTAAAAATGACCAAGCATCACAAATACAAAAAACTCATTTTCATGGAAAAGAATAGATGATTCATTTCACCAAAGAGAAACCACACAAGTGCAAATGAGGGGTGGAAGAAAACACTATTCCCCAAAATTAAGTACTCTTAATGTCAATGACGATGATGATTTGATGAAAAAAAGAAAAAAAAAAAGTACTCTTAATGTCAACATAAAAGAGAAGGCTTAAATTTCTCAAGTCAACCAAATAAAGAATAACTCAAAGGAGATGAATAAAGAAATACCAAAAGCTACCCACTTCAAAAATCCAAAAAAAAAAAAATGAACGGATCCATATCTTTATGGTATCGATAAAAATTTTATGGCTTCCCCAATCATATTTCCTCCATTATTTTTTTTTTCTCTCCTCTTCTCTTTCTTTTCTTCTTCAATTATTTTCCTCACTTCCCCAATCATATTTCCCACAGGTAGGAGTGTAAACAAGTTAGAACTTGTAAACTATGGAGACAAATATAACAAGCTCAAGTATGTTGAAAAGCTAAAAATCTTGTATCTGATGATTATCAAGTCAATCAACACATTTTTAACAAGAAAATGATCAAAATTGTCTCTCAACTCTTTGTGAGGGATCAAAATAGCCCCCAGCTATTTTGAGGGACTAATTTGGTCATTCAACTCCTCCAAATGAGACTTTTTTAGTCCTGCCATCTAATGGTAAAATTGATGGTGTTAAGTACAAGGGTAATTTAATCTTTTTTAATTAAAATATTTAATAAATATAATTATTAGAGATTATAATTTTTGTAAAAAAATTTATTAAACTTTTCTTTAATAAAAAAATTATACATAATTTTAGTTTTAGTAATTATACATAATTTTTTAATAATAAAAATTAAACTTTTCTTTCCCAACTCTCGGCAACACTTAGGGGCTATTTATTATATTTATAATTATTAATTTTAATTATTGTTTCCAAATAATTAATATAAATAATATAGGTAAATTTTAAATTAATTATCAATAAATTTAGGCAATTTATTATTTATTAATTATATTATATTTTTAATTAATCTTTTTACTTTCCTTTATCCTTCTTCACTATTTGTTGTTCTTTGACTTCGCCTCCTTCGCATGATGGGCACAATTTTGAACTAGCTAACTTCTTTGCCTCCTTCAACGACGTTTCTTCCTGTCGGATCTAAAATCACACTTCCTTGTTCATCTATTCGATCGGGAGTAATGACGATGGGAGCTTGCTCGTTGCAAAGGTAGTCATCTTTCTTCCATTCGCGCGCTTCTTCGACCAAACCGTTTGCGAATGGAAGTAATGGTGACGACGACGGGAGTTTGCCCATTGTGAAGGTAGCTATCATTCTTCGGTTCGAGCACTTCTTCGGCCAAATCGACTGCGATCAGAAGTAACGAGGACGACAGGAGCTTGCTCGTTGCGAAGGTAGCCATCTTTCTTCCATTCATGCACTTCTTCAACCAAATCGACTGCGATCGAAAGTAACGATAATGACAGGAGCTTGCTCGTTGCAAAGATAGCCATCTTTCTTCCATTCGCGCATTTCTTCTTTGCTTGTTCCGATAATACCCACCTACCAATATCACTATTTTGTTTAAAATTAACAGCAGGACCAAAATAGTCCCTTTTGGAGGACTTGTGGGACCAAATTGGTCCCTCAAAATAGTTGGGGACTATTTTAGTCCATCACAAAGAGTTGAGGGACTATTTTAATCATTTTCTCAATTATTAAATGTCGAAAAAGTCTGTAAAGTTATATACATAAAGTTGGAGTACACTAATATGTATTCACATGCTCAACATACACCACAGCGTAGTGCATAGTTGTGCACTTTTGCTTTACAAACACATGCAACTCTATCGATATTATTCACACCAAATAATTTCTCTCATTCCCAATGAAACCCACCCACCACCATAAATGCATCTAAAAAGAGGATAAAAGAATGTTAAAGAAAAAAAAATCCATGAAACAACAAGCTATTAAGAGAGTAACTTTTTAAACTCATCATTTAGAACTAGAAAAGATCATTTAACAGATATGGAAATTACCTCAGGTGATTTCAGATCCACTATAGAATTTTCCACAACATTTTTAAATGCTCCAGCCACAACACTAAAACATTTGTTCTTTTCTAACAGAGCGATTGTCGAAGTAAATTTCTTATTCCTCAACTCTGTCTCCTCTATGCCTCTTCTATTGTAACCAACTGCAAACTGGAATGATGATAAGATCATTACATTAGGGTTAATCATTTTATTCAGCAATAAATCAAGAACTTACAATATCACTACCAATTAAGACAATGATATCCAACAGGAAAAAATGATCAAAATGGTCCTTAACTCTTTATGAAAAACTAAAATCGTACCCAACTATATAATAAAGGACCACTTTAGTCCCTCAACTTTTTAAAGAGGAACCAAAATAATCCCATGGTGGGATTATTTTGATTCTTTCTTAAAGATTTGATTATTTTTTAAAGACTTGAGAGACCAAGATGATCATTTAATATAGTTAAGGACCATTTTGGTAATTCATAAAGAGTCGAGTGACCATTTTGGCCTTTCTCTCTATCTAGAAATATATATTTCAAATGATGGTTTTAGAATCTAGCTTGAGATTTGAGAAATCTATTCATCGCATCATATGTACAACAACTAGGTCAAATGTCAAGTTGTTTGCAAAGTATTAAGGTATTTTAAGCAAATTATATCAAAAGTATATAATAAAATGTCATTCTTAAAAATGAATAAAATCATGTATAATTTTGGAAGTGCACAAAGCAAAAAAAATATACGTGAAATAAACTAAAAGAATTTCAAAATTTTATATTAAAACTAAATAATTTTTAAATGTGTACTACTTCTAAAATATTGAGTGACAAAAAATAGTAATTTATAAATATTAAATATATAATCACATATTTATAATCGAGTCAAAACTACCCCAATTTTCACCAATTGGTTTTAGTTAAAAGCATGTATGTGCCATTGATTAGCCTTTTTCAAGCCAACGTTTATTTAAATAATGCAAGGCATGGTCTTTGTATACCCAATGTTGCCTAAGCCAAGTTAGCCCGGTCTTACTGACCAAAATAAATCAAATTTAAGATAATTTGACTAGCCCAAATTATGTTGTCAAAGCATATGATGATCTTGCCAATGAGTTCAAGTTGTTAACCCTTTCTCGGCACTAAGATCGCTGAGGTTGCCAAGGTTATTTGCCCAAATTGTCAAAGCTACTCACTCAAGTCATCAATGAATTCGCCCAAGAATTAAAGCTACTAGCTGCCATAAAATGAAGTTGTGCTTCACTTCTAAGTGAAGTGAGAAACAAGTTCACATGAACTTAATAATTTTATAGCAAGCACTTGTCAAATCTTCTTATGCAATTTCACTAGAATTACACAAATGCAGACTTTCCTATAGCATCATGCCTTGGTCGAACCAATAAATAAAGAGTTGCATGGTAAGTCTAGCACATTCAATCATATTACATTGCTCCTATGCTTACTAGAAATCTAGCCAAATCTGGAAGCTTTTCTTTTTAAATTATCTTTCTCTCTTATCTTTTTGTCTCTAAATTGATATATACATGTTAGTAAAGTTCTAGTGACATTTATAGATAAATTTGGATCCAATAGTCATATATTATTTAAAATAACAATGTATGTATAGAAGTTTGAAGAAATTTGTTGGTAATGATTAAGACTTACAAGCAAGGGCCTTTCACCTTGGTTTGATCCTAGTCTATGTATTCTAACTCATCTTTATCATGTGTATTAGGCAATACCCTTAAAATGCAAGATGATAAAAATTATTAAAAAGAAAAATTAATTCCTTGTATTTTAAGCCCCGGCTTGAGTTGAAATGATTAATGATTGAGCAAATAAATCTAAATTAAAATATAAACAAATTCTTATTAAAATTTAAAGCTTATGCATATAGCCATTAGAAAAATGGATGATAAGCATGATTAAATAGAAACAAAATGGTAAATTTATCAATTTGATATTAAGTTTAAAAATGATTGCACCATGCCTCCTCTCAACTATTGCATTGCGGTGGATCAGTTGTCATTAGCAAGAATGGTTCTGAATCCTGAGCATCTAACGGAGAAAACTCTAGCTAGATCAACTAGCAAGCTTATCCGACCACAAATTCTTCTTAGCTATAACGTGGAAGTAGTTGGCTTCATTATTTGCAAACAAATTCCATAAAATTTCTACATATTTGCTCAGAAAGTGTGTTTATGCATGTGTGGGTCATGTGTGGGTCGAGAATGCGTTAAAATTAAGGCAATAACTACTTGCAATAGGCAGAGGCACAAAAGAGTATAAATGAATTCTAAAGACAATTGGTACATGGAAACTAAGCTTACATTGGTAATACATAATTGTCATCACTACTCCTAAAACAAAAGTTACAGAAATAACAAGGACCACATACATCTAAACAATGAAAGATAACATTTTATGTTAAAAATGGCCCATGGTACTTCACCTTTTTTTTCAACAACAACAATATCAGGCCTTTATCCCACTACATGGGGTCGGTAACATGAATCCTTTATTTTCCATTACGTTTGGTATTTTATTCCGAGTGCGGCGTGGACACGGCATAATAATTTTTTAATATAATATATAATAATTTTTAAAAATATCGGACACGGACACGGCGTGGACAGATGGCTCTTTTGAACCTTCACCTAATCCACCCCCGCCAGCAGCAGAGCACATTTTGCTAACAAACCAATCATACATATGAATACATCAAATTAAATTGATAAGCATGTACTGAGCGGTACCTAGCATATATTGAGCAGTACCGAGCATGTACTGAGTGGTACCGAGCATGTACTGAGCGGTATCGAGCATATATTGAGCGATACCAAGCATATACTGAGCGGTATTGAGCATGTACTGAGCGATATCGAGCATGTACCTAGCGATACCTCATTTAATAACCGGACACGCATGTCAGACATGCATGTCCGATTTTAATTTTAATTTTTTAAATTGCGACACTCCAATGCCGTGTCGGACACGGCAATGTCGGACACGTGTCCATGCCATGTCAGACACGTGTCCATGCCGTGTCCGACACTGCATAACGGGTAACCCGTATAACGGGTCTTACGGCTTCACTTAGATGTAGCCGAGCAATCATAAATGAAAAAAGTATATTTCTTCAGCAATAGAATCATGTGAAATAAAATGGAATAAGATACTATCAATGCTATACCTTAATAGACCTTTCGGGTTTGCCTTGTTGACTGCTAAAATAACGCTGCACAAGATTAGTTACAACTGCATGTAGGTCCTTCTCTGTCAGGCAACAAGTTTCTTGAATAGGAAATATGCGGTGGCACCAGCTGTTCAGAGGGAATTAATTTCATTTTGAAATTTACTGCAGGGTTAACATTGAAAAAATATGCATGACAATAAGCAATAACTCAAAGTCTAAAATATTAGAGAATGCAACAGCTCCAATATCATTTTGGAATGCAAAACTTTATTTTTTTCTTATGAATATGCCAAAAATCACACAGGTTCACAAAATCACGAAATGAAGAAAAGCAATGCCTTCTTCTTCACTTAACTTTTAGAGAGACATTGTAGTATGAAGAATCCAATATATATATATATAAAGAGAGAGAGAGAGAGAGAATATATGGACATTGGGGAAGAAAGAATTAAACAAGTAATGAAGCAGCACGCCACAACTATTACATTTGCTCACTTAGTAGATAAGTTTATAAGGATTAATATAGTCCCAGCAGAAACACAAACCACAATATAAATTGAAGTAAAACATAACATCACACTTATTGAAGAAATCAATTTTCTATCAAATAAAAGCATTAAAAGTAGACTTACATGGGTGGTTTCTGATTCCCAGAACCCAAGGAACGAAATATACTTGATAATGTATCAATGACATGTTGATAGTTTAGTACTGGCAACGTGAAAAGAAGTAGACCACTCCTTGTCAGTTTAACCAAAGATATAGCCCTTTTGTTTGCATTTTCATCTGCAGCTGGATGTAACCTGGCCAATTCTGCAGTTTCACCTGTTTAAGAGAAAGCAACTAAGATACGTGTAGCTTACTTGCATTAAAAAAATTACAGTTTCTGTACACGAGTATGTTGCAACACCTGAGAAAGGAAGGTCATGAGTGTCAGTGATAAAGGCTTCGTTTAAGACGGTTTTTTTCCTGCTTCTTAAAGCTGTTTTTTAGTACAAAAATTAAAAAATTTGTACTAAAAAACCGGTTTAAGAAACAGTAAGAAAGCCGTCCCAAACAAAGCCTAAATTAAGCAGTAACTTACAAGAATCTGCAGATAAATTGGCATCTATATTTTTTTCTAATCTGTCCGAACTATCAGCATCCTGAGAACAAGTTTTCCTCCTCTTTGCAACCACAATTTTGCTGCATGGTTCAGATCTCTCAAAGTCATTGGTACAAACAAATTTCATATGCTGGATTAAATCAAAATGAAAAAGTAAAAGTCAACATTATCGAAACTTGTACAACAAAGGAATGCATTTCAAAAAAAACTTCATGAAATAGAACAGGAAATCAAGGAATGCATTGGAATCAATGAATTATGCATTCATAACAAACTAGAAAGGATTTTCTTACATCAGTATTGTAGCATTCATAAAATTGGATTTCATCTTTGTCATGCAAATATTTTTGGTTTATATTCTTGAAGAGTTAGGAATTACATTATATTCATCCTAAGCATAATAAAAAATATTTAACCTATTATCATTGTTTTAATGGGCAAATGAATCATACTCTGCATATGCATAGAGTCCAAAACCAAATGTTAATTATAATGAACAAAAAAGTGATGAAATAAAACTCGCCTTTTCCAGAATGGGAATAGCTTCCTTAGTAGCACTTTTTTCACGCTCTGAGATCAACAAAAAAATCCATCAGAACTGAGAAAGTATAATAAAAATAGTCAATAAAAAATGATATGGTAATATGAAAAGAAGGCAAAAAAGCAATCAAGCAGTAGCGTTATATAGTAACCTAAAATTTCAATTCCAAGTATTTCCTCAGTCAAATTGACTGGACTAACTCACCTAACAAATAGGCCAAACTTAACCTTAAATAGATTTGGAGTAGGAAATAGACCAGCTAGACCCTGTTGACTTGATTTAGGGTTAGCTGATGCAATTATTCAAGTAATGTAAGTAAACAGCTTACTGCCCGGGAAGGTCAGTTGGGCGGTGCACAAAGCAGACTAAGTGTATTTAGTGGCCGAATAGATTATAATCCACATAGGAAATAGGTAGTTGTGTTGATTGGATAGAAATTCATTCAAGATGACTCAGTCACTGTTAGCAATTTTTTTTGCTAGCATGTTTGTATATATTTTACTGTGAAAAACCTTCTTTCGATTGTTGTTGTGCAAAAAATTCCAAAAACATTAGTTGAAAATATGGAAAAAAAAGGGTCAGCGCCACGGCACCACATCATCAAGTGCCACAACACTCTGAGTACAACTCAATTGCCGTAGCAAGACATAATGGTACCATGGCGCTATCTTCTAGATTTTTGCAAAACAATTCAACATTGCAATGCCGATCAAGCGTCGTAGCGCCCAGGATCCACCACCGTCTCAATGCCAAATCATTCAAACGTTGCAGCATCACAGTTGATACGGTTGCATGGTGAAACGACACGCCAATTCAAACCTAGCGCTGCAGTAGAGATCTTCAACAGCGCAGCAGCGCTAGTTCACTTCTTTAGCACCGTAGCATAGAGATTCAGCAGCGCAGCGAAGCTAGTTCACTTCTTCAGCGCCACAGCGCCATCTTTTGTAGCATCATAGTGCTAGTGTTGATTAGGGTGTTAAATATAAATACTTTTTTGGCCGAATTTATGAGTGAGGGCTAGTACTTTACTATGCAAAACAGTGTGTAAAAGTCATTGGAGAGTGTAGGAGTGGGAATGATTAAGGGAAGAGCATCGGAAGCGAGACTAGTGTTTGTAATCTATTACAAAAGCGCTTTCGGGTGACATCTTACTAACTCTCTCTATTGTATCTTATTTTTCTTATTTAAATGAAAATTGTTTTGTGTATTCTAAATTCCATGGCTTTCTAAATTCTTTGTTTTGGACTTGAGATGAGTGATAAAGCATGATTTACCTAAGTAGACTCTAGTTCTTCCAACGTTTAATGTTGATTTCAATTCTCTCAAACTTAATTTAATTATTGCATTGGTCGTGCTATAATTTAAAATCTAGTGTGACTTGTTATCTCGACGGAGGAATAAGAGAATAAATAAAAGATTTGAAAAGGAACACTACCATGCCTATGTATGGGATGGCTAGGATTTTGAATTCTAAGGAGATATAACAATTGTAGTGGAGTGAAAACTTGACTTCAAACTCTTACAAATTCGACATAGATCTAAGAGTGCATTTGTTCTGATTCACAGCGTAAAGTAAGAGAGTCAAACTTAGGCAAATATGACTTTCATCACTATCATAAGTTCAGGACACTTTCATTAATTAAATTTTACATTTCACCAACCACAATAGGAATTTTAGAGAACATTTTAAATTCGGAGTGGTAGGATAACTATTGTGATTTGAATTGACAGTACTAGAGTAATAATAGGATAGTTCAAATCCTCGTATGATCGATACTCAACTCACTCTTTATTATTTGAGCGACACATGTACTTGCATTTGATTAAGTCTTTGATCTATTCTGAGCTTAGCATATCTTAGATTGCATGCAAAAAAGTTGTGTCAGTCAACTAGTCAATGGTCAACAAGTCTGTCAATCTTTGCACATACATCTATAGGAGTTGAGTTTAGTAAGAATATTAATGGCAATGATAAATTAAGATGTTTTTAAGGATTGTATTAATTGAAATTATCAACCACCAAACTATTGCAATTAACATCGCATAATAAAGTATTATCTTATTGCAATTCAAAATATTGAAGTTGTTAGAATTACAAGTGCATTGAAATTGTTTGAGAACAAACAATAACCTAAGCATGGGGAAATTTTTTTTAATATGTTTATATATGTTTTATTGTGAAAATCCTTCTTTTGATTGTTGATGTACATGAAATTCTACAAAAATTAATTGAAAATATCAAAAAAAAAGGAAACGTCGCAGTGCTCCCAGCACAATTTTGGCGTCGCAGCGAGCCATAGTGGCACTGCGTTGCTGTCTTCTTTGGATTTTTGTGAAATAATTTAGTGCCACAGTGCCGATCAAGCACCGCAGTGCCCAGGATCCACCAGAGTTGCAACACCAAATAGGCCAAACGCCACAACACCACTTTTGGGACAATTGCATGGTGAAACGACATATCGATTCAAATCCAGTGCCGCAGTGGAGAGATTCAATAGCGTAGTGGCGCTAGTTCACTTCTTCAGCGCAACACTGCCAACTTTTGTAGCGTCGCAACACTAGTGTCAGTTAGGGTGTTAAATATAAATAATTTTTTGATTGACTTTGTGAACGAAGCCAGCAGTTTATTGTGCAAAATAATGCGTAAGTCATTGGAGAGTGTAAGAGTGGGAGTGCTTAAGGGAAGAGCATCTAGAGCGAGAAATAATAACTTTTGAGGAAATTTGGAGATAATGAAATAATATTATAATTTTATTTTTTATTTTTTTCAATATTTTTATTATTTTTAAATCTTAGCAATGTGTACTGGGTACTCATGCAATAAACTAATTAAAGAAAATAGCTAAATTTGAAGATACTTTTTTGGTAAGCCATCTAAGGATGCATTTGGGATAACTTTTTCAGAGTTTATATTACATACCACTACCACACTTTTATTTGGCCACTACTTTCTAGTCGTTTTTCAAAAATTTCTCTGATGAGAATAAGCTTTTACAACCAAGTCTGCTAAAATGTGATAGCTCTACAAAAATTATCGTCTAACTTTTTCTATAGGGAAAATACTTATAATAAACACGATAACTTTAATTAACTATGCATTATCCAAACTAATTGCACAATTAATTATACAAATGAATGCAGTCATCCCAAAAAGACCCTAACCAACATTCGAGGAAAGCTACTTTTCAGCCTTTATATAGTTGATTTTTTTCACAAAAGTTAAACTAAATGCCTTAAATCTACTTTTGTTGTTCAAGGTAGCAAAGGAAAAGAGTAGAAAACCTTACCAAATGGGTGTTTATGTTTCTGAACATTGCAAATTAAAAACAAAAGATTACACTCCCAAAATGTTTTGCTCCAAAATTATCTCCATGCTATGTTGCACGGATACTCCTATTTACGAGGCGTGCTGTATCGGACACGTGTCGGATACTGATACGCCTCCGATACGGCACACGGATACATGTCGGATACGGCTTTGCCGTGTCCAATTAAAATATTATTTAAATTTGACTGGACACACGTATCGAATACGCGTGTCCTATTAAAAAAAACACGGAGCCGCAATTTACCCTATTATTTTCGGCTTTCCACCGTTTCCGCTCAATATCTATATTCATTTATGCGGCTGAAACATTTCAAAGAGCTAGGTTTTTCGTTCCCACACAAGTGTTCATCTTCTTCGTTATAGTTGAAGGAGCGGCTCGATGACGCGAGCATATAAGCAAACAGGATCATCCTTTGTCGACAAAGAGGCTTGACGACTAGAGCATTAAAGTCGATAGGATTATCCTTCGTCGACGGAGCGGCTCGACAACGAGAACAGTGAAGGCGACGTGAGCAGTGAAGGTTCGTTTTCTTCTTCGTTCTTCGTTTTCTTAATCATAGGCTCGGTATCGAAACTTGGTACCGCATGGTACCGAACGGTACTGGAACTCAGTACTGCTCGGTACTGCTCGATACCGAGCGGTACTGGAACTCGGTACCGCTCGGTACTGTAACTCGGTACCGAGCGGTACTGGAACTCAGTACTGCTCGGTATTGGAACTCGGTACCGCTCGGTATTGGAACTCAGTATCGCTCGGTATTATAACTCGGTATTGCTCGGTATAGAGGGGTACCGAATGGTACCAAGCGACATCGAGAAGCTAAAACATGCTCGGTACCGCTCGGTATCTTTCCATAAAAAACAACTTTAAAAATAAACGACACTTCAAAATTTTGGGAAGGCATATGTGTTTGTAGATAAGACACCACCCAGAGATTTCGCCCTCATTTTGTGAGGACTTTATGATCTGAGTTCTGGTTTCCTATAGGCGCAAGCCCCTATAGTGAATTAACCCTCCCGAACTTTCGATTAAGGCTAGTCGTCAATAAGATACGTAAAGAATATGTGTTATCTGACAAAGAGTAGCAGCATGAGTATTTGGAATTTGAGAATTTGGAAAGTTTGGATGTTGGAGGTTCAATGTTTGATATTTAAAATAGAAATTTTTACCATCTTGCACTTAAAGCGGATGGTGGGAGAATGGATGATGGACCCGATCAAGATCCCATGGTTCTGTCGTCCCGGGCCATCGTGGTCGTTGGTCTACTTAGTCAAAGGAGGTACTCGACCTTGAATCAAGGCGCACCTCGAGGCGTATCAAGGCGTATGACACAAAAGCCTTTTTAAACCATAGATTTTCTACATCAACTATCCCACTAACTTAAAGGGATGAATGCTTAGAAAGTCAAAAATCCAAGATCGTCTAACAACAGTGCATGAGAGAAAATCGTTTCTCATACTTGTTATATTAAACTTACTTCATATAAGTTAACTTCTTTTTTCTTCTAAAATTTATAATTTACATATATTTATTTTGGGTAAAAATATTCTATCTATGATTCTTAAGATTGGTTAGAAACACAACATATTTAAAGTTTGTCAGTGTTATTAATTATACTATTAAAAATATAATAATTTATAACATTTATGATGAATAGAAAGAAATTTTTATCTTATGGTTTTCTTAGGCTTACATAAATTATTTGCTAATGTTCCTTTTTAATCACCACGGTCAACATTTCTACCTAGTCCTTTTCGCATAAAGAATTCAGCGTGATTTTAAAATGTACAATGCACATCTAACAAGTATCATATGTATTTTTATAAGGAGAGCTGTGCTTGTATAGTAAGTTAGTAACAGGTTGAGCTTAGTTAAATTAACCTTTCCTAAAGGAATTACAGAACAAATGCCCATGTACATTGAAATCAAATCATCCGTCTGCTTGACTAATAATAACTATTGTTGAAGAAGGGGCTGATCGGAAGAGAGTGAGAGTGAATGACTAGTGTAGATCCAAAGCTCAATGAGGTGAAATGGTGGAAACCAAGAAAAAAAATTTTTTTCCTCTCAAAGAGAACAAAATACAATATCATTTCTTCTCTGCCATAACAAATATATCCTAAGCTAAATGAAAAATAACAAGTTAAAGGTCAACAAGACTACTTAAAGCAACAAGACTACTAAGAAATAACAACTTCATTACCAAAATGAGAAAACAATAGAGTTAGTGGGTAACATGGCACAGGAGTCGCTTGATGCAGTTGAAAGACAGACGGTGTCAAGACACTGCGGTAGATATCACAACATAAGCGATGAAGAGTTACACAAGAAGAAACAATGGAGTTGGCAAAGAGAATGGTGCCTTAGTGCAGATGATAGGCGTAGAGATGCCGTGAACGAAGAGATAGGCGAGACAAAATAACAAATGACATCATGGAGATGAGCTCCAATGCTTTGATGCTGACGGGGCAGCATTAATCTTGTTGGTCTTCAGAAGAACTCAACTCCGAGTTCATTTCGACAATCTCAGCCTTATTTGGAGGGTGGCACTCAAAGATATCTTTGACATTAAATTTTTTT